CGGGGGTCCGGAGGAGGAGGCTGCCGGGGAATGGAGCGGGGACTGCCCCCTGTGCGAGGCTGACCAGGAGGAAGTCCGCAACATGGACTCCCAGAGAGCTAAGAGACAGGTACCGAAATGGGATAAAAGGCATTTGATCCATTCCAAGTGATAATATGTCTTAAAAATGCAACAAGTTGATTCAAGGAGAGCTCTTTTTAAAGTTCCTTTTAAAGCTCACCTAGTCATCTCTTTGAATCTAACTAGGGATTTTCCTCTAGAGAACTTATTGTCATATTGATTATAACTGTAAAATTGTGTTTACTTTGGATAAAAGCATCTGCAAAATCCATAAACATAAACTTAAAGTTGGCAGTTTTCAGTATGGTGTGCAGTGTTAGGGTTAAGATTTTTCATAAATCGGAAAGAAGTCCTGCAAACACCTAAAACATGAGCTGAGAGATACAGCTCGTCCCTCAGTTGATGCTTCTATTGTGTTGGTCTCATTCTTAATCAGGAGAAATGGAGAGAAAAAAATGTCTGAGGTAGGCCTATGCAGAACTGGACTGGTTAGTATCAACAGGCCTTATGGAGGGATGCATCCTCCAGAGCTCAGACCTCAACACTGTTAGGCAGTAACGGATCATCTTGACAGACAACGACAGCCAGCATCCAGAGAAGAGCGGGTGTAGAAATGAGAAGGAAAGCTTATCTGAGATGGCACAAGCTGCATTGGGAAGGAAACGTCTGGTCATATCAAATACTGACTGTAGTTTAGAATAACTATGCAAACTCAAATAATATGTATCTGCCTGATAAACTTCATTGCTGCTTTTTGTTTACAAATTTTTCAAGTAATTTACTTGATCTTTGACATTTTCCTGGCTATGAAGAAAATTGATGGTTCAATGATTTTGTTCCCAAAGTGAACGTGAAGGTGAAAAGTTGTATATGCCAGGGCTCTGTTATTCCAGAAATAGATAAAGGTGGGCAAGTGCCCTTTACCTCCACCACAAAGTTGAGGAAAAGAGGGGGAAAAAAGGAAAGCTTTTGTTCGTTCACTCCAAAATGTTTCAAATGAAGAGTGAGATTTTTAAAAATACTTTTAGCTTCCACAAAAACTAACTAAGCCCCCAGACTGTTTCTGTTTTTGTTGGGGTTTTTTGTATTAGTCTTTGTTAAACT